CTTATGTCTGCTCTGTCAGGTAGGAAAGAAACCTTTTCCTTTCAAAAGACATTGTTATTCAGGGTTTCTGCTCCAGCAACTCAACAAACATCCTAATTAAGAGGGTTGGCTAAATACCTGGGTTCATAAAACTGCCTCAGGCCTGTTCAGTTCTGTGACCCTGCAGTATCCACTACATAATAGGAGGTACATATTTTTGGGGAAAGGTGTTCACAATTACAACTGCTGTGACTTAGATTCTTTTTTTTTTTTTTTAGATGGTAGTATCTTTTTTTAAAGATTTTATTTATTTATCAGAGAGCGAGAGAGAGACAGAGGCAGGCAGAGGGAGAAGCAGGCTCCTTGCTGAGCAAGGAGTCCCATGTGGGACTCAATCCCAGGACCCTGGGATCATGACCTGAGCCGAAGGCAGAGGCTTAACCGACTGAGCCACCCAGGTGTCCCTGTGACTTAGATTCTTTACAGGGAGATGTTTACATCTCATAAATGTTCTTATTTCCCTTTTATTAGAAGTAGCTTGGCAGAAGATATCACTGGGTTTCAGCATCCTCTGGCCCATAGCTTCAGAGGTGTAACACCTAGCAGTGTACAAACGACCTCCCTGTCGTCCTCTGGGTTTCTCAGCTATTCACAGTTACTCCGATGTTTTGACATCATTGGAAACACAGAATGTATTTCTGGGATTTATTTTACCCATTCTGCCCTAGGATATTAAAACCCAAATCTTAGCTGCTTTCTCTCTTATTCTGCCATTTGGACTATTAAGAAATTAATTTTTTAAAAGGTGTATTTATTTATTTGAGGGCAGAAGAGGCAAAAAGGGTGGGAGAGAGAGTCTCAAGCAGACACCCTGCTGAGCATGAAGCCCCATGTGGGGCTTGATTTCACGACCCTGAGATAACGACCTGAGCTGAAACTGAGAGTCAGATGCTTCACTGACTGTGCCACCCAGGCGCCCCAAAATTAATGTTTTTAAGATTTTATTTATTCATTTGCGAGAGAGACAGAGAGAGAACAAGCAAGGGGAGAGGCAGAGGGAGAGGGAGAAGCAGACTCCCTGTGGAGCAAGGAGCCCAATATGGGACTCGATCCCAGTACCCTGGGATCATGACCTGAGCCAAAGGCAGACGCTTAACCATCTGAGCCACCCAGGCGCCCAAATTAATTTATTTTTAAAAGTGAGATGATAAGCTATAGAAAATTTGGGAAGAAAACCCAATTCCCAATATGATCAGTATTAAAATGGTGTTGTATTTTCTTTTAGTCTTTTTATAAACGCCTTTTGTTTAGACATTGACTGCATTAAAATTTCAGTCTTACGCTCTTTCCATTTATTATATTGCAAGCCTTTCCTTGTGCCACTGTCTAGTCTTCAGGGCCCCCATCTTTTACAGTTGCATGGGCTTCCATCAAGGGAGTATAATACGCTTGACCTAACTAGTTCCTGTTGCTGGATACTCAGACTTCTCTCTGTAGTGGTTCGCACGGTGGGAAGAGTATGTTGATGCAGTACAGCTGGTGAGGGCTTGGAGCCTTCTCTCACCATTGCTGGCTGGCTGGTTGGCACACCTCTGGTTCGGTCAGAAGCTCAGTGGGCCAACTTGCCTGAAGAACGTGTGGATTTTCTAAGTTTATTTTTGGCTTTATTAACTACTAGATCTATGAGGCAGCACAATATTCATGTTCCAAAATTTAGGGACTTTTTTTTTTTGCTTATGTTTAAGCAAAACCAGATAGACTTCTCCATTACTTTTCTTTCAAAAAGGAAGGAGTTTGTTCCTCTGGAAGAGTGGTTGGGAAAACGTGGAAAAAACAAGCATTGTCTGTAAAGGTCAGGGCTGGGATTGGGGGAATGAAAACAAAAACGAACCTAGAGTTTTGACAATTCCTTCCATTTTCTTTCCTAAAGCTGTATTTTTAACGTTGGATGGCACATCAAAATCACATGGGGAAGCTTTTATAAAAACATTGATCCCTAAGTCCTATCCCCATAGATTCTGATCTAACTAACCTATGTTGGGGCCCAGGCACATGCAGCTAGGGTTACTACCCACTGTCCTAAAGGCAATGGGCAAATAATGTGGAAAAATATTCAGCCTCACTAGCCATCAAAGAAATTTAAAATAAAATGACAAATATTTATGATTATAAGTGAGCATTAAAAATAATAGAATATGTTGAGCAAAAGAAGTCAGACACAAATTACATGAGGTAAGATTCCATTTAAATGAAATTCTAGAAGAGACAGAGATCAGCAGAGTGGATGTCTGGGAGGAGATGGGGGACACAGGAGATACAGATTAACTGCAAAAAGTCCAGATAGAACCTTAAGGGATAATGGAAATGTTCTGGATCTTGAATGGGGTAGTGGTTATGTGGGTGCATACGGTTGCCAAACATAAGACTGTACGTATATAAATCTGTGCATTTATTATATGCCAATTATACCTCAATTAAAACAAAGAATATTGGGGAAAATTTCATCAGAGCCCTCCCCCTAAAAGCAGCACCCAATGCTAATGAGGATGTGGTGTAATTGCTACTCTTATATAATGATGGCAGAAAATTTTGGTGGGATGCTTCTGAATGTTTGTCAATACATTTTAAGATCCAGAGTTCCAGCTTTTTGACCAGTAATTCCACTCCTGGGAATTTATTCTATAAAAATAATGTTTTAAACAGTAAGTATATATATGTATATACTTATATATGGACACACAAATCAAAATACTTTTTTTCTGTGTTATTCTGAGTAAAAATATCATTCATAGAACCAGTGAGTAATTTTTAACTCAATTAGGACTGTGCTGTGAGGGTTGATTCCAGCAGGCCTAGAATTGACCTGAGCTGTTTTGCTGAAGTTCTTGCTTGGCACTGACCACTGGTCAAGAAATGAAATATGCCCATTAGAGCTGCGTTGTTTTGTAATCACAGGGCTGAGGAGTCTGATGGCAGTTGGCACCAGGCTTGTCAGCACTGTTTACTGATAACAGTGAGGCTGATGATTTGTACTTGGTCTCAGCGAGACCTCAAGAAGGCTCTGCTGTTGAGGCTGGTTACATAGCAGAAATATGCTCCCATGACCAGCAGAATATAAAAAAAAAAATCTCAGCTGAGACTCCATGTGGGGATCCCTGGTGGTGAGGTGTTCGGTGCACACATTGGTAGTTCCTGACCTGAGAGAGGAGGTGCATCCCAGCATGGCCCTGACATAGGGAGCACCATGGGGGCCCCTGCCGGACCTCTCGGGGACTGTCTGCTGTGAGGCTGCTGAGGAAGGCAACGCATGTCCTGACTCTAACTCTGTTGTGCTACCGTATCTTTCTCCTGCAATGCGCTGTACCTTTGGAAGCACCGTCACTGGGTTCTGTTAGTCATCTTTAGCAATCAGATCCTGTTTAACTGCCGCTATTAGTGCAAAGGGCACATAAGCTTTATGAAATATTATGTTCTACAAAAGTGGGCAAATTCAAAGACTGTAGCAACAAAGTACAATGCTTACAAGACAACATTATGAGGAAGAGAATATAAAATGTTATCCAAGCTACGATAGTAAAATCATAAAACTGTGTTTATTGACAGAGAGACTAAGAGTGAACACAGGAAGGATTCTGGGTAAGCAATGTGTATACACATTAGATTCGGTACCGATGCACTTGGCAGGCATTGTGGCATTTTATATGCTCTGGATCTAGCACTTCATTCTTTCAACCCCTTCTAATACCAAGGTAAGATGTGGAAAGAGCACTATATTGGTTATTAGAGGATTGAGTTCTAGCCTTAGATTTGTAAGCAGCATGAATTGAACCATACATACTCCCCTGGCATGGTTTCTACATTTCTCAGTAATATGATGATCAAAACAAGATAAGGAATACCAATGACTCTGAAAAATACTCTATACAGCAGTAAACAATGGTTTTTAAATCATTATTATTAATACCATCAACATAGTTGGTAAGTAAGAATACAAAAGAATAAGAAATTTCAGCCTAATAGAAGGAATAGAGCAGAAGACTACAGAGCTGGGAGCAGAGAGGTGGATCATGGAAAAAGAACTAAAAATAAATAGATATAATAATAGCTGTGTGCTAGACATTGTTCTAAGTGCTTTACGTATTATTTATTCATTTAAATCTCACAACAACTTTATGAGATAAGTACTGTTATTTTGTCCATTTCAAAGATGAGGGATCTCAGGCACAGAGAGGTTACATAACATCCAAGGTCACACAGCTAGTTTCTAGGAGAACCAGGATTTGTACCTACGCAATATGGCTCCAGAGTCCATACTCTGAACTACTATGCTGCATTCCAGAAAGGAGGAGAGCAGGAGGAATCTGGTGGAATGATGAGCAGGGAATGGAAGAAAGAGCAGGAAGTTCAGAAACACATTTTTTATTGAGCACCTACTAGATACTGGACTATGGATAAAAAGATGCATAAGACCATAGCCCATGCCCTTGAAAAGCCTACACTCTGGTGAAGAAGACAGGTAGTAAATCATATTATTTCAAAATAATGTGGCAAGTTCTGAAATAAATACAAAGAGGCATGTACCAAGGGCTATGAGGATACAAAGAATGAGCACTTCAGGGGCACCTGGGTGGCTCAGTCATTAAGCGTCTGCCTTCAGCTCAGGTCATGATCCCAGGGTCCTAGGATTGAGCCCCACATCGGGCTCCCTGCTCTGCGGGAGGCCTGCTTCTCCCTCTCCCACTCCCCCTGCTTGTGTTCTCTCTTGCGCTGTGTCTCTCTCTGTCAAATAAATAAATAAAAACTTAAAAAAAAAAAAATGAGCACTTCGCCCAGCCCAGGCTTCTTGCAGAAGGTGACTCCAAGTCTAAGAATTATGAGTTGAAATGAGGAGTTGAAATAGGGAGAGGGTGGTCCAGACTGAGCAAAGTGTGTGAGGGGAGAAAAGCATGAAGGCAAATGAAAAGGGTGTATTTAGGGAAAAGCATGAAATCCCTATCGAGAGGGAACTTGTTTTTGTTTACCTCACATGGACATCAAGCTGGTTCAAAAATTGCCCATATTCTTCATAGAGCGCTTTCTTCTCTTGCTGCAACGCAGATATCTTTTCTGATAATTCTTGGTTGCTTTTGAGATGCTGAAAAACACTTTTTTTAAATGAGACTATTCTGTGCTGCAAGGTTAGACGTCTGAAAACTACATTTCCGAGACTCTTGACAGCAGAGTTCTAGCAAATGAGAGGCACTCGCACACAGTTTGGAAGGCACTGGGGCAGGGCGGGGAGAGCTGTCCTTCTCTAGCACTAGCAGGGAGGTGACCAGGCAGACAGCAGATGAGACATTTGCAGGGGCTTCAGGGAGTGTTCCTGCAAATCTCCCACTCTGGGTGGGTTTCCCTGGGATTTCTAAACTTCTAGAGTTACCGAAAGCAGGCCACAGTTTTTTCTGACGTTCTCCTCACCCTGGTATCTCCCTTCTAACGGTTTGTAAGCATATTATTCCCTGTGTTAAATCGTTCCTTGCTTGAGATACCTAGAGTAGATTTTGCTTTCCCGATAGACTTAAGGGGTAAAATGCTAGGCACTCAGTAACTATTAGCTATGACTCGGGTTTATGGGAACAGGAAAACTGAGAAGAGCATCTATTTCCTTTCTCACCTCTTCCGATTTTCTTTTTTCATCTTCCAGTTGTTTAAGTTGGGCCTCCTGTTGCTGGATTCTGGATTGTTGCTGAGAACAGGTTATTTCCAGTTGATTCCCTTTATCTTGTAAGATTCTCACTTGCTTTTGTAGCTCTTTTACATTCTGATCCAAGAGTTCCCTGAGGGTAATTAATGTACATTAAGTCACACTGGATTTATGAAATTCTTTGACCTAAAATTGTTATATCATCACAAGGGATTTTACTGGTTCAATGAGGTAGGGTATGTGTCCATAAAATAAAGAGGCCAACATAGGGGACCTCCTTTATGACAGATGTTTTGCTTAGTTCTCTCTCTCACTCACCAAAACAATCCTACAAAGAGGAAATAACTTCCCTTATTTCACAAAGGAAGCCTACAGAGAGGTTGCATTAACCTGCTAGGACAAGATGAACGTAGGGCTCTAATCCCGAATCCTCTATTCCTTCTCCTCGTCCTCACTGCTTTCCAAGTTGAGTCCCTTGATCTTCTTGGTTCAATACAGGGTTGTCAGTTACAAACACTGTTGATACTAATGCACACATGTTAACGCTGCATGAGCTGAATCATAAATGAGCCTGTGTTTGATGAGGAAGTTCATCCTTTTTCAGAAGGGCCATACACACCTAACTCCTTCAGAGAGAATCTCATCAGACTACAGTTTGTGGAAGAGCTTCTGAGGATTTCCAACAAGGCTCTTTGGATTTAGGAGATTATCTAGAAGAATATGATGAGTATGATGGAGTAGCACCTACATGCTAGGTCACTACTGATATTGGACAAATGAGGTCACTTTCTCTAACTTCAGTTTTCTGAAAAACCAATGGATTACTGGGAAAGATTGATATTTGAGACATGGGCCTCATACCTCTCAGCCTCCAGCACCTCCAATTCTTGTCACAGTTCCTGATATAAGTGAAGGCTCTACAAGCTTACCTCCTACCATTGATATCCGCCCCTGCACCAGCACCGCCCCCTTCACCTCTGTTTTCATTTCATTCATTATAGACCTGAGCAATTCCTGCCTATTATTGTCTACTTCTTCTTTGGTTCCATTCTGAATTTCTGATCAAGGGGCCAGACTAAGAGATAAGCTTTGGAGCTGAAAGGGAAATCTTAAATTGCTAGAGCTATAGAAACTTGAGTTATCTGCAATGGAATCTAGGAGTTGGAAAATGGCATTGAAACATAGCAAGTCAAAATTTAAAAAGCAATCCATGAATGTGTTAGAAATTAATTCCCATATTACATATAGTTTGAGCAAAGACTAACAGATAAACCAGTTATGCCAATGAATGAAATTAAGAAGGCTCTCTGCTCCTCTCCATTAGACATATAGCCACATCTTCTGGTGCAGTGCCAGCCACATCCCTGCGACACAATGGTCAAGGTCGGAGTAAATAAATTTGGCCATATTGGGCACCTGGCCACCAGGGTTGCTTTTAACTCTGGCAAAGTGGATATTGTCACCATCAATGACCCCTTCATTGACCTCAACTACATGGTCTACATGTTCCACTATAATTCCACCCACGGCAAATTCCATGGCACAGTCAAGGCTGAGAACAGGAAACTTCTCATCAATGGAAAGCCCATCTCCATCTTCCAGGAGTGAGATCTTGTCAACATCAAATGGGGTGATGCCTGTGCTGAGTATGTTGTGGAGTCCACTGGAGTCTTCACCACCATGGAAGGCTGGGGCTCACTTGAAGGGTGAGCTGAGAGGGTCATCATCTCTGCCCCTTCTGCTGATGTCCCCATGTTTGTGATGGGCATGAACCTTGAGAAGTAAAACTCCCTCAAGATTGTCAGCAATGCCTCCTGTACCACCAACTGCTTTGGCCCCTCTGGCCAAGGTCATCCGTGACGATTTTGGTATTGTAGAAGGACTCATGACTACAGTCCATGCCATCACTGTCATTCAGAAGACTGGACAGCCTCACTGGGAAGCTGTGGTGTGATGGCCAGGGGCTGCCCAGAACATCATCTGCTTCTACTGGCACCATCAAGGCTGTAGGCAAGGTCATCCCTGAGCTGAATGGGAAGCTCACTGGCACGGCCTTCTGTGTCCCCACCCCCAACATGTTAGTCACGGATCTGACCTCCCGCCTGGAGAAAGCTGCCAAATACAACGAGATCAAGAAGGTGGTGAAGCAGGCACCACAGGGCTCCCTCCAGGGCATCCTGGGCTACACTGAAGACTAGGTTATCTCCTGTGACTTTCACAGTGACACCTACTCTTCCACCTTCGGGGCTGGGGCTGGCATTGCTCTCAGTGACCACTTTGTCAAGCTCATTTCCTGGTATGACAATGAATTTGGCTACAGCAACTGGGTGGTGGACCTTATGGTCCACATGGCCTCTAAGGAGTAAGAGCCCCCTGGACCACCAGCCTCAGAGAGAGCAAGAAGAAGAGAGAGGACCTCAGCTGCTGGGGAGTCCTTGCCCCAGCTCATCTCCCAAAACACTGAGAATCTCCTGACTTCCACAGTTTTCATCCCAGACCCCCTGAAGAAGGGGAGGGGCTTGGGGAGCCCTACATTGTCCTGTACCATCAATAAAGTATACTGTACCCAGCTAAAAAAAAAGGAAATTAAGAAATCAGTAGATTGATGACTCCCTGTCTCCCCAACAGCCTCAACCTCTCAATCCATTCCTTACATAGCAACCAGAGTGCTCTTTCTATATCACAATCTCATCATATCATAAAGTCCAAGCACTTCAACAGAGCTTGTCAACTAGCTTACCTTTTAGCTTCATTTTCTTGCCACTCGCTCTACCCCCAAACATTTTGTTCCAGGCAAAATTAACTTTTTTCATTTCCTGAAATAACTCATCCTCTACCCTTATTTCTCCCCTGCAACTCCAACCTTTTCCTTATCTTCCTCTTCCAGGACTTTCTTCCTCTAATATTCTCTATTGAGCCATCTATCCCAAACACCTCACACTCAGCTTAAATAGCCTTCTTTGAGCAAGGCTTTCTTGAGCTCCCGAGACCAGATTAGGGGTCTCTGCTATGCACTATCACAGCACCCTAAACCTCCCTTAGTATAACACTTATCATAAAGTCTATGTACAAGGATATTTGTTGCAGCATTATTTGTAACAGCAAAAATGTCTAAAAAGCATTTTATATAAATTATAATACATCTATGTAACAGAATGCTATACAACTGTTTAAAATAATATTATGGAACTAAAAATCAAGGGTGGCTGGGTGACTCAGTCATTAAGTGTCTGCCTTCGGCTCAGGTCATGATCCCAGGGTTCTGGGATCTAGCCCCGCATCAGGCTCCCTGCTCAGCAGGGAGCCTGCTTCTCCCTCTCACACTACCCCCTGCTTGTGTTCCCTCTCTCCCTGTCTCTCTTCTGTCAAATAAATAAATAAAATCTTTAAAAAAAATAAAAATAACAAACTTAATATATGGGAATCCTTAATATCTAAATTGGAGTTGCTTTCCTCCAGAGATAATTTGGGGAAGTCAGGGGGCTGCCTACTGGGGAACACTTCAAGATTCAAAGCTGATAAATACAAAAATCAATTTCATTTAGTTTGCATATTATGCCAATCGTGTTAGAATTAGAAAAGCAAATCCCAGAGTATCATATCTCATAGGTCATCCAGTCATTCAAGAAAATTGACTGGTGCACAAAGTGTGTCTCAGAGCAACAGAAATAATCCCTGCCTTTGAGAATCTGACACTCTAGTGTGAAAGGCAAACAAGAAAAACAAGTAGAATACAGTGTGATAAGAAGCTGTGTAACTGAGTTCACTTCAGTGGGAACACTGAGGAAATGCATGGGTACACTGACGTTGCTGGTAAACTCAGTGGTTAGCCCAGGTGAAACCGACATCTTTGTTCCTCTTACCTCTTGTGCTGTTCTTCCTGATATTTTTGCTTTGTTTTAGCTTCATTTTCCAGTGCTTCTTTTATCTTTTCCTCTAGTTGCTTCTTCCCCAAAATACAAGTGTCAGAGAGACAGACTTTTTGAGCATGTTCTAATTTCTGCTGCAGATCTAAAATCTTGAAGGAAAAATTTCATGAATAAAATATTAAGAAGAGTCTGACCTTTTTTCCAGGTAGGGAAATACCCTATAAGTAACTAGCAAACATCGTGCTAACAAACAAATCTGGTCTAAAGTAAAGAGCATGGCCAGATTTATTTTAATTTTAAAATAAATTACCTAAGTTCTAGGATATGTGATACATTCACATAGTTTAGTGTATGCTTGTGTAAACCAAGTTATATAGTGAAAACTCCTTCCCATTTCTATCCTGTCTTCCTGCCAGTTTTCCTCCACCACATAGGTAATCGCTGGTGTTAGTTTCTTGTGTATCTTTCCAGAGATTTATTTACGCCCACATAAATAAAATTATTATACAGTTCTCCCCCATACACATATTTTTTACACAAATGATGGCATGTCATACATACTTATGCACCTTTTTTTTTTTTAATTTTTTTTGGGGGGAGGAGCAGAGGGAGAATCTTAAGCAGGCTCCACCTCAGGGCAGAGCCCCATACGGGGCTCGATCTCACGACCCTGAAACCATGACCTGAGCTGAAATCAAGAGTCGGAGGCTTAACTGACTGAGCCACCCAGGCACCCCTGCACCTTGCTTTTTAAAAATAACAATACATTTGGTGATTTTTCTGTATTATATGATTATGTAGAATTGCCTTCTCTTTTATAGCCACATACCATTCTACAATAAGGATATACTATAATTTACTTAAGTAGATTCCTACTGATGGGATATTGAAATTGATTCCAATCTTTTGCTAATACAAACAATTGCTCTAGAATAAATTATTAGATATGAATTTGCTAGGACAAAGGTTATTATTTGCTTGTTTAATAGATAATGCCAAACTGGCTCCATAGGTATTAGGCCAACTTATACTTCCAACAGCAATGTGTGAGCATGTCTAGTTCCTTCACAGTGTGGCTAGATTCACGATAAGATTTTAAAACAAAGCAGAAGTCTCCTACAAACCATTATTACCTATTAGCATATCACCTAGCACCAGTAATACCTTCTTCAATGCATTGGTAGAACTAAAAATAATACTTATGAATTTGAAAGAGAGATGTATAATTTTATTTTAGAATTTACATGTTAGATTAAAAGAATCATTAAAAATTTTTTTGTTAGATAAGTCTATTTTTGTTTACCTATTTTTTATAAACCCTTGTGTCACCCAAAATTGTGACACAATTTTGTATGCTATGTACTGGTACATAGTAGATGCTCAATAAATATTTGTTGAATGACTAGTTTTTAGCAGAATACCTATTGTCTCTCGAATATATTCTTGATGTGACAATGCATACTTTACAATGGTTTGGCACCACATTCCCCACAAACATTTACTGAATGCCAGTGGATGGCAGTCCTTTTTTAAGAGCAGGGCTTTACGCATCAGTCCTAGGTCCTTGCAGAGCCTAGGAGCCACAGGAGAGGTGAAGATGCAGATTGATTCAAGGTCAGTGGCAGCGGACAGCCAGTCGTCTTGAGGCCAACTCAAGTTCCTTTGAGCTGCCTCCACTTGGTTCTACTTAGGGAAGATGCTTCCTTAAAGATATTCACTCTTAATTCCACAAATGACAATATGACCCTGTTGGCTTCTCTACCAAGGACATATGCAAAAGTTTGAACCCGTCACCCAGTTTAAGAAAAGAACATTTCCAATACTTTTGAAGTCCACTCTGGGACCTTGTCGATTATCCCCCTTCCCTCCCCACTTGAGAAAACCAGTATCTTGAATTTTGTATTAATCAGTTTCTTGCTTTTTCTTGAATATATAATCTATATAACATGGGTTTTATTGTCCACCATTTTGACCTTTATATCAATGGAATCATACTGTGTTTTTGGTGATTTGGTTTTATTCAATATATGTTGAACTACAGCATGTACCTATAATTCATCTATTTACACTGTTTTATGCCATTGTGTAAGTATACAGTTTATTTATTCTACCTTATGTCAGTGGACATTTGGGTTGCTTCCAATTTTCTGCTATTTGGAACAATGTTTCTATATAAATGATTTTATTCCTATCTCCTGACACATATGTGCAGTATAACATTTTCTCTAGTCTTTATGCCCACTAGTAGAAGTGTTGGGTTGAATGATATATATGTCTTTAACTTGACTAAATACAAATGCCAAATTGCTTTCCAAAGTGTTTATACTGGGGTGCCTTGGTGGCTCAGTTGGTTAAGTGTCTGGCTCTTGATTTCAGCTCAGGTCATGATGTTGGGGTCCTGGGGTCAAGCCCCACATGGGGCTCTGCGCTCAGCAGGGTGTCTGCTTGAGGATTTTCTCTCTCTCCTCTCCCTCTGCCTGCCCCCCACTCTCATGTGTGCTCTCTCTCTAAAATAAATAAATATATCTTTAAAAAAACCCAAAGTGTATATACTAATTTATTCTTCCAACTGCAGTCAATATATGAGTCCTTGTTGCACAAAATCCTCACCAATATTTAGTACTATCTATATTCAGATTTTTTTTAACTAAAATTAGATTTTCTTACTAATATGTAATTACCAACTACTTTTTAATGGAGTAATAACATACAGAAAGTGCTCATATCTTAAGCATATTGAATAAAGTTTTACTTAAACAACCACCTCTCACATCAAGATATAGAATACTCCCAGCACCACAGAAGATTCCATCTCATCCTCTCCCAGTTAGTAACCCTCAAAAAGATAACCACCATCCTCTGATCACAGCTGAGTTTTTATCTATTCTTAAACCTCATATAAATAAAATTACACAGTATGAACCCTCTTGTTCTGGTTTCTTTAGCTCAAAATTAGGCTTTTGAGCATAATTAAGATTGCTGTCATCTACTTTTTGATGTTTGTTTTATATTTATATGGTCTGATGAAATGATTTATTTACTTATTTTATGGGTTTTTTTTTATGTATATGAGATTGGACTCAAACCCACAGATCAAAATGTGCAACTGTTACGTACTACTGCCACCTGGTGTTAGACAGTCTGAAAAGCAGGGGCATTATTCCAAAACGTCCATTTCACCACACAAATCCCCCCAAAATTACAAAGTAAAAATCATATAAACAGATAAATGAGAGGAGAATCAGTCTTTTAAAAGTTGAAAGTATAAAACAAAGTCAAATGGCTTCAATCAGTTCTTTAAGTTCATGTTATAGCTTCAATGAAACCTACCTTTTAAGTTCACACAGTTTAAAGAAACAAGAGATTTACTGGAACTGCAAGGAGCAGGTGAAGTCAAAAGAGAGGACAGCATGGAAGAGCAAAGAAAAACCCTAGAATTCTATCAAGTTTGCATCATAGCTACTTCTTAAAATCCTTAGGGAAACAGGATTTCAGAAGTGGTATCCAGTGCATGCTATTTATTAAGCATGAGGATAATTACCTTTGCCTCTGCATCGGCAACTTTTGATTTCTCCTGAGCCAGCTTTTCCTGCAGGTTGTTCTGTGATTTAATGCTCTGAGCCTGTTTGAGTCCCTCCAGCTCCAGTTCCCTGATTTTCTGCTGACGGTGCTTCCATTCTGCTGTGAGTGAAGAGCACATCTTTGTGCTATCTAATAACTTCTGCTGGGCCTGCTTTAGTTCAGTTTTGATCTAGAGGTGGGGAATAAACAAGAGTGATAGAAATAAGCATGGAAAGAAGATGGATGTGAGCCAGAACAAGCACTTTTCATAGCAGTGCAGTCCCCCAAGAGCTGACAAATAACCAGTGTCACATGGATGATTACCTCTCTGGAGCTGTCATGTGTTCGTAAGGCTTGCCAAAGTCTATCTAGCCAGATGGCAGCTGGACAGAGGAATTTTCCTAAGTGGTTCTATGCACACATGGTCTGAACATTTTCCATCCTTTCTTTCAATCTACTGCAAGTTGGCTTTCATTCCCAGTACTCCATGAAACTGTTCATGCCAGAGGCACTACTGATCTCCCCACTGCCAAAATGAATCAAAGGACAACTGAGCTCTTAGGTACCATTCACTCCCTCCATCTCAGAAAGTTCTCTTGGAGTCTATGATACTGAACTCTCCTGGTGTTCTTCTATCTCTTTGCTGTTCCTTTCTGCTCCTTCCTGTGTAGACTATTCTAATGCTACCCAACTTCTAAATATCAATGGACTACCCTAGGCCTTGAGAGTGGATCATTCTCTCCCTAGGTTCACTGTCATGATTTGAGATACCACCTTTATGCCAATAACTGTCAAAATAAAACTCCTTGAGTCTCTCCATATCAAAAATAATTTTTCTCTCTCAGTCTTCCAAATTTCAGTAAAGGATGCCACCATCTAAGGTTTTGTTCAAGCCCGTAGTCTGAGAGTCATCCTGAATCTTCCTTTCCCATCAGGAGCCCATTCGGCACCCACTGGGATGCTGCCTCCACAACATGTCTCGCATCCACCCATCCGTGTCCACCACCCTTGTCTACAACATCATCGTCTCTAGCCTGGGTCATTGCAATAACAACGTGGTCTTGCCACTTCCATTTTAGCTCCCTTTTTATCTGTTCTCTACATTGCAGCCCAAGTGTTCTTTTTTCTTTTTCTTTCTTTCTTTCTTTCTTTCTTTCTTTCTTTCTTTCTTTCTTTCTTTCTTTCTTTCTTTCTTTCTTTCTTTCTTTAAGAGCGAGTACATGGCGGGAGGTTGGGAGGGTTGGAGGGAGAGAGAGAATCATAAGCAGCCTCTACACCCAGCATGGAACCCAACACAGGGCTCCATCTCCCAACCCTGAGATCATGTCCTGAGCCAAAATCAAGAGTTGGAGGCTTAAATGACTGAGCCAACCGGGCGCCCCCCACTTTTTTTCCTCTTGCCAACCTCTTTTAAAACACAGGTTATTTAGTACCATGAAAGTAAAAAGGACCATCTCTATATTTAAAAATTGATGACTTTTTACTAAAAATTTGAAAATTTAAATGAAAAATGCCTATAAAAATAAAATATACCAAAGTTGATACAAGAAGAAATTTAAAAATGTGACTTCTTATAACTATTAAGAAACTGAATCAGTCACTGAAAATCTTTCCCAGAAGAAAACTCTAGAATCAGAAGGATTCAGAAATGAGTTCTTGTAATTATTTAAGAAGAAATAATTGTAATTTATTTTTACAAACTCTTCCAGAGAACAGAAAAAGAGGGTATGTTATCCATCTCATGTTAAGGGGCTAGAGTAACCTTGATGCCAAAATCTGACATGGTTGTTATAAGAAAGGAAAATGACAGGCCAGTCTCATTTGTGAACTAAGATGCAAAAATTCCAAAGAAACACTGGCAAGCTAAAGTCAGCAATGTAGAAAAAGGGTAATAATTTAGGATGAGGTTGGGTTTATTCCAGGAATGCAAAATTGAGTTAACATTAGAAAATCAGTCAATGTAATTCACCATATTAACAGATTTAAAAATCAAAATATGCAGAAAAAGAATTTGATGAAATTCAACATGTGCTCATCATTAAACATTGAATGAACACTAAAAAAGAATTTTCTTAATGTGATTTTTAAAAATATTTTAAAAACCCTATAAAAACATATTAAATGAAATTTAAGAGCTTTTCCTTTGAGACTGGGAAGGAGAAAATATACCCATTACCACCAGCTCTATTTGTCACTGTAGTAGCTACTGCTTAGAACAAGAATAAAGAATGAGGGCGCCTGGGTGACTAGTTGGTTAAGCAACTGCCTTCGGCTCAGGTCATGATCCTGGAGTCCCGGGATCGAGTCCCGCATTGGGCTCCCTGCTCAGCGGGGAGTCTGCTTTTCCCTCTGACCCTCCTCCCTCTCGTGTTCTCTGTCTCTCATTCTCTCTCACGCAAATAAATAAAATCTTAAAAAAAAAAAAAGAATAAAGAATGAAAGGTGTAACATGTGGAAGGGAAGAAAGAAAATTATATTTATTCTTAGATGATATGATTACTTACACATAAAATACAAAATGATATAAACATAAATTATAAGAGGTAATTTAAAAGTATGCCAAGGCTTTTATTAGAAAAAAATTATTGCATTTTTATGTATTAGCAATAGTTAGAAAATGAGATTTTTAAAAATTTACCATTTACAATAGTATGGAAAGTATCAGCACCTAGGAATATGTCTAACAAAAGATGTATAAGACCTCCACAAAGAAAATTATGATATTGGGAGAAATTAAAGAAGACCTAAATATAATACACACATTTCATAGAGGATTCGATATTATAAAGATTTAAATTCTTCCCAAATTTATCCATAGATTTGGTGTATAAATTCAGTGTATAAATCCAAAAAGGTTATGTATGTATATATGTGTGTGTGTGAGTACGTGTGGGTATATGCATGTAACTTGAAAAGCTGTTGACAAAATTTATATAGAATTTCAAGTGGCCAAGAATAGCCAAGGCATCCTAGAACAAGAACCACAAGATGAAAAGATGTGCTCTATCAAATATTAAGATTTACATAAAACTAAAGTAATTAAGGTAGCATGTTAATGGCACAAGAATAGACAAAATAGGACAATGGAACAGAATAGAGAGCTTGGAAACAGACCACATATGTACCAATATTCTTATGACCCAGGTAACAATACAGTCATGTAGGAGAATATCTTTATGTCTTTGAGGTCGACAAAGATCTCTTTTTTTTTTTTTAAAGATTATTTATTTATTTGAGAGAGAGAGAGAGAGCAGGAGCAAAGAGGAGAAGCAGAGGGAGAGGGAGAAGCAGACTCCCCACTGAGCAGGGAGCCCGATGCAGGGCTTGATCTCACTAGAATCATGATCTGAGCTGAAGGCAGACACCCAACTGACTGAGCCACCCAGCATCCCTCAAAACATATATTTAGAGAGTGAAAAAATAAGCCATAGGGTAGAAGATGTTTGTAATACACACCTGATGAAGGCTTCATATATAAAGAATTCCTATAAATTAATGGGAAAATGAAAAAGACAGAAGCCCCAAAGAAAAGCAAACAAAATCTTGAACAGGTGCTTCACAAAATAGGAACTCAAATGTCAAATAAATATATAGAAAGCTGCTCAGCTTCATTTGTAAACAGGGAAATGCACATTAAAACTGCTAGGAGCTACCATGATACACATATATGAGATTAGCAAAAATGTCAAGTCTGACAGTGTCAAGAGTTGGTGAGGATGTGGAGCAATATGGACCTTCATACCTGCTGGTGGGCATATATACCTTTAGCAGGAATTGAAGTAATATATAAACTATGATGCAATAATTCCACTCCCACTCTCTTCCTAGAGAAATACATACTATGGATGGACATCAGGATGTATGTACATGGGTGTTCACAGCAGCAGTTTTTAAAAAGTAGAGGCATTACTCAGATCCTTTTGTATATCTCACTATTTAGGAAAGAGTCTTATGTTCAATAAATGAACATATCTGAAATAATGTACTCTTATGCTGTTTAAAAGCAAAGGTCCTTGGATAAAAGCTGCTCAAGCATCCAGAGCGCTAAGCTTATGATACCTGCTTTTATATTAATTTCTGAAGACCAGATATGCCATCTCTAAAAATGTTAACAGACATGTAAAAATGACCAAAATAATTTATTAAACATAGTAGAAATGAATGTGCAGAGAAATGAAGAAATTAAACCCTATTAAATCTTGATGTCCTCTCAAAAGGCACTCTAACCCATTAGATAGGAACTTTCATTTTCCAAGAACAATGTAGCCACATATAGAAAAAGATACATGATTTCACTTATATGTGGAATGTGCAACACAAAACAAAACAGAAAGGAATTCATAAATACAAAGAACAAACTGGTTATTACCAGAGGGAGGTGGGGGGATGGGCACAAAGGTGAAGGGGATTAGGAGGTTAAAAAAAAAAGAACAATGTAGCCGTGAAAAACTCGGCAAGACACAGGCAGATCTAATGAACAGGAAAAGAAACAAAGAAATCAAGGAAAAGAAGAAATCAAGTGTTGGAATATTTGGTGCATTTGATTAGTTCAGGGTTATGAGACCTAAACTTCTTACTGTAAATAGAAAAGGTACAAGTCCTTTCATAATATATTGTCCACCTCCGCCATAGGCCAAGAAAGCTAAAGGCCTCTGGGACCTGTGATCATAGTCATAGAGCTAACATGCAGCATTTTGGTCATGCTGGTGATGATGGAATGAGATGACAGTGGAGCAAACACTATTATTGCCAATGACGTGCATCTAGGAGGGCTTCTTTAGCTTTAGGTTTGGGTATTCAAGCACTAGTAAGGGGATCCAGTATGGTGTCTCAGTGTTGGTGGCAGAGCAGTTCTCTGTCTGAAGCTCTGCAAGCCTCTAGCATTCTTCTTAATAGCCCCAAGCTGGAAACATACAAGATGTCCATAAACCATGGAAAGAATAAAGAATGGCAATTTTTTGTGGTGGAATACTATACTGCAAAGAAAATGGATGAACAATAGCTATACGCCACCATGTGGGTGAACCTTCCCAACAAAGTAGGTCATAAGAAGAGAGACACAAGGTGCATATACTGATTGATTATATTTGTAAAATACTCAAGAATAGGCAAAACTGAGCTATATTGTGTGAGATTCATACATGGGTGGTGAAACTATAAAGTAAAGCAAGAGGGTTATTATCAAAATTAGTGGTTACTGCTAAAATGGGAAGGTGATGGGATTACAATGGGAAAGAGGCAGGCAGGGGCTGTTAGTATGTGGGCAATGTACTGTTTCTCATCCTGGGTGGGGGTTATATGGGTGATCACTTTACAACAATTTGTTAAACTATATATTCATGTTTTATGTACTTTCTGAGTTTCCTATGTCATAATAAAATGGTTTAAAGGCAATACATTAATACTCTAGTTTCTTAATCAGTAAGTATGTCTAATGTTAGCCAGAAACCCAGAGTTTGATCATCTCTGACTGGATTTTAAAAAGTGAGCTCTAAGTTTGCAAAGCTGAGGTTCCTAGATGATCCCAAATTGAGGAGAGGTGTAATATGGAAAGAGAATCACAGGAGAGAAACAGACTTGGACTTAAATTCTGACTCCACGATGTGTTAGCTTTGCAACCTTGGACAGTTTCTCATCTATAAAATGCTGACCCTGGGGTCAGGGCTGTAGGGAGGTTTATAAGAGATAAAGTGGACAAACTGTCAATAAAAGGTAGTTGGTTATTATATATGACTCCATTTAGGTGCCTGGCTTAAGGAACCAGCCAAAACACTGATGTCTCACTATTGAAATGTCCAGTATTTTACCTCACCATGAAAGGGATTTAAAACAGAACAAAAAATATCTTCTCCTTTTACCAATCTATCATTTACCCATCACTGAAGGACTCACTCATTAATTCAACAAACATTTCTAGGGTTTCCAGGGTGCCAACCACAGATGAGGTGTCATAATCTGTGTTGCTCTGGTCATTACACCTTGAGAAAGATGTAGTATTGCTTGAATGTGTTCAGAGTTAGACAGTTAAAATGATCTCAGAAATGTGTTTGAAAGGAAAAGTGAAAGGCTGTCTTACAAGGAAATATGATAAAGATTTGGAATTTAATTTAAAACTACAAAGGCTTGAGAGAATGTGGTCAATATTCAAAAAATCATGAAGGGTGAGGATAAGGAAGAGGTTTCTTCAAATAACCCTGGAATACTAGGACTTTCTAGAAGGGGCTCCCTTGAAGTTTGACATAAATGACTACTTGTTTTCCTCTGTATCTCCCCTACTAGATTGAGTTCCTAAAAAATAGGGACCTTTCTTAATCCATTTTTAGGTCACTTTTTGAAGAAGGTACTTTGTTCATGCTACACTAGGTATGACGAATTTTCCTATAAAGGGCCAGAGAGTAAATATTTTAGCCTTTGTGGGCCACGTGGTCTCTGTCAGAACTACTCAAATCTGCTATTACAAGGCAAAAGCAGCCATCCATAATATGTAAACAAACAGGTGTGGCTGTGTGCCAATAAAGCTTTATTTACAAAAACAAGAGGCAGGCAGGATTTGACCCATGGACTCCTACTGACCAGGGGATAAGAACTCTATCGGTTCTATCTACCGTTAAACCCTCAGTATCAACAAGATTGCCTGCCTAGATTGTGACTGATGATCAGTACATATTTGTTGAATGTTGAGTTCCAGAACTTTAGATAGGGACTTATAGAAACTAGGTCCTTAATATATGTTTACAGGATTGAACTTCAATTAAAAAGAAGCACTATTTTACCTGATGGTTCAGTTTGAATATTTATGTGGTTCATAAAATTTAGATGAACTCTGTGGATGACAGTTCTACATAGGTTATTTTAAAACAAGCATGTTTGGGGAATGTCCTCCTAACTTTCTGATAGAACAAGTCGCCCTCCTATGAATTGTACCTCGGAGCAGTTGATATTTGATTCAACCAATAATAATAGATAAATCTCTTGGGGATAAATAAGTCTATAGATAGAACTAGGGCAGGACCTCCAGCGTTTGGGGTCAGGTCATTCAAATTTAGTAAGTGTTAAAAGTTTTAGCTAATGATTTCAAAAGATTATGTAACTTAAAAAAGTTTGTCACATTTATAAGTTGACAATATACACACGCCTTGGGCGCCTGGGTGGCTCAGTTGGTTAAGCGACTGCCTTCGGCTCAGGTCATGATCCTGGAGTCCCGGGATCGAGTCCTGCATCGGGCTCCCTGCTCGGCAGGGAGCCTGCTTCTCCCTCTGACCCTCCCCCCTCTCATGTGCTCTCTCTCTCTCTCTCATTCTCTCTGTCTCAAATAAATAAATAAAATCTTTAAAAAAAAATATATATATATATACACACGCCTTCAGCAGCAGAGAAACAACTGAACTGTGTACCTACTTGGTAGGGCAAAGTCAGAGTGCTCACACTGCCCACACATCTGGGGGTCCTGTCACAAATATTGCAGTTGGGGAATTCGAATTCGTTTATCCCCAGGGCCAATTAGCAACTGGACTCTCTGATCCAGGCTATGCCCACTAGAATTACCTTAATGCTTTCTTCCTGAAGTAAACTATTATGCTGTTTCAAGTCCAAGTTCTTTCCTCGATCATACCGGAGCTCTTTTTCAGCTGAGTTGCACAGAATCTGGAGCCGGTGAAAATTCTGATGAAGCTGTTGTACATCCTCTTGCCGCTGGTATTTCAGTTTTTCTCCAGATGATGGATACTAAGCAAACATTTTAAAAGAGAAACATGGGCCGTTTGAAAGAATATTGCTAAAACATGTGTTCCAGCTGTCAGAAGCAGAAATGTCAGAACATGATTATTCAAACGTAAATATTCTTGGAGTTGGCTTACCTCCAGCAAATTACTCTTTTTTATACTTATGGCCATTTGGTACATGTTCATATAATTTAACTCCTGTTATTTTAGAGTGAAAATATCAACGAAATTATTTGAGCAAAGCAGTTAAGCATAGACAACTAACTTTCTTATTTTTCATAACAATGAAGGGAAACAGAAGCATGAACCATTTTAGGGTAAGACATGCTTTAAATGGGGAGTTCAAAGAGCCAATATGTGAAGAAGGAAAGCGTGAATGTGTATACAGTGTGTGTGTGAGTGTGGCATCTGTTGGCAAAAAGAAAGAGAACATTTAGAAGGAGATCTTAAATTCCCAGTCTTCCTCATTGCTTTCCTGTTACTATCACATGATTCTTCTTCAGTTACTATTCAACAACCACACACCCTCCTGCAGGTCTCCAGGGCAATAAAACCACCTTGACCAAAGGAGGAATCGTGGGGTTTTCTAAAAGATAGGCTCACATAGGTGTGCTATGTAGATAAAGAATTCAACCTTATCCAATGCAATAGATAACATATATTTAGAGTTTCCTGAGTCCTGGTCCAGTGTACTTCCTGCCCATGACTTACTGGAAATCCCATGTCATTAGTCTAGTTCTCTCTTGCTTGCAACAGAATTGTAACACAGAATTCCCCAAGTCCTGTAAAGCCCTTTAATTCCTGTCTTGGTTTAGTCAAAAAGGCAGTCTAAATCCAATTTGCTTATGCTAGAGCTTCAAGTGTCTAAGATCCCTAGAAAAAATTCTTTAATGGAATTATAATGTAATTATTAAGAACCCTAGCTTTGGAATTACTTTCAGTCCTGAATCTATCTTGAAGAAGTTAATTAGTTTCTCTCCTTTTCATTTCCTTCATCTGAAAATGGGGATAATAATGATAACTGCTGGATGCAGTAAAGGGTAAGTAAGATAATGCATGCAAGCATTTAGCACGATGCCTAGCACACAATAAGCACTCAATAACATTACTAAGTACTGTGGGTGCTACCCATCTTTATTTTAACTGCCTTCTGCTTCCATCTGAAAACAAGAGTTCTCCGGAAGCCTGGAAACCCTTGATCACCTGTCTAGCTTCTTATTTAACTATCAGACGGCAGCTTTTAATAATCAATTAGTAACCAGTAGCCCAGATGGCCACTGAACACGCCCAGGGTTATATAAGAGAAGCGCCCCCTTTATACCAACGTACAGAAGTTTTTAGCCTGTTTTGAAGATGAGAAAAGCCAGAACAATAGTTCTTCTTGCCCACGTTTTCTAGTCAAGTCACTTAGCCAGAGTAGAAATGCAAATTATTTTTCATGAAAGGCAAATAACTAGTAAAGAAGCTACCAGTTAGCCAGTCGAGTGGCCCACATAAAGAGTCTCTCTTTTTCCCCCACCACGTAAATTGCTTCCTGGCAGAAAGTTACTACGGAGGCATTTAGACTCACTCAGGCTACTGGGAACCATGTAGGAGTGCAAAGTAAAGTACTTAAGCGTCCTTTCTTGACCAATCAACAGATTTATTAAGCCAGTTATTCTCTCTGAGTCTCAGCTGACTCATCTGCAAATAAAAGGCATAAGACCAGATGATCCATCATAATGTCTCTTCAATTCATAATTCCTTAAGAATTAAAATGAAACAAATTGAAACAACCATTAATTATCTTAATTTTATAGGCTTAAGATCTAGCTTTTAATATTTTTAAATATTATCTTCATACAATAAAAACTTAATATGAACCAAATCCATATACTGGTCCCGACGACAAGATCATTCCTTTTGTGGAAACAATTAAAGCCTATAAGCCTTAAATACTCTCATCCAGTGGATGTGGATGGAACAGGCTATCCAGCCCGTGAAGCTGTCAATCATCAAACCAAGTCCACTTGTTCAGACTCCCTACTCATCAAACATCCTTCAGATTTGGATTTGTCTTTCTCAGCTCTCTACAGGTGAATGTGTTGTTCATTTAAACATGTTCAAGTGTTATTTATAATTATTACAGATAATAATTAACTGACATTCCAGTCTTACCCTATAGTCTTGAAAGTTTGGTTTAATGTGAGTTTATCCCCAAGACACAGATCTATTCTAGGGGGATTAATGCATCAAGTTTTGGAAGCTGCAAGCCTAAGGGCCAAACACCGAATAAATTCACCAAGGTAATCGATAACAGACACCCTGGAGGGCTTTTGGGAGACAGCTTGCCAGCCTTCCTTAGGAAATTAGCTTTACATGAGAACTGTATGCTTTCTTTGAATTTCTCAGCAAGGGGAAGCAAATGACATAGGGGTTAAGAGGTCAAGTTCTAGAGTAGACAGACCCAGGTTCCACCACAATGTGTCATTCTGGGAAAATTATTTAACCTCTCTAAAGCCTCAGTTTCCTCATCTGTAAAGTGGCAATAATAATATCCTTTCTTGTTGTGTTGCTTAATACACACAAGGTATTTAGTATAGTGCCTGGAACAGAGCAAATATTCGATAATGTCATGGACAAACATGAAGCTAGATTTTTAAACCTATAAAATTAAGCTAAGTATTGGTGATTCCAGTTTGTTTCATAAACATTGGGGAAGTAATAATCTTGAATTCAGCTATTACAACCTTACCTGGAATGCTGTTGAACAGCAGAAATTAAGCCACCAAAGGCAATCACAGTCACAAATGATGTCACAGATACATATGAACAATAGGGCTCACCTACTTACTCATAAAAGAGGCTCTCACAGTTCTTTTTCTATGTATTTACCATCTATATGCATTCTTTAAAGTTTAATATCTGGTCTCAAGCTATAGTTGCTTAAATGTGTATGTTATGAGATTAAGAAGATACAGCAATAAGCAGCTAGGCACTAGACAATAATCCGACAACAGGGGTGAAGACCAAAAACTTCACATACACAAGAACTAAAAGGCAGAACAATTTATAGCCACCAGTACGTCAAAGTAACCTCTACACAGAAAAAGTTTCTGAAATTATCATTGCACAGAACCCTGAAGAAAAAAACCAAACATCCGCCTAAAATGTCTTTTCTTCCTTGCCTGCTTAAAGAAGTAAATGAAATAGTGTGTGTGATACCACTTTGGGACATGTAAAGTTCAAAATATAAATATGTTATTTTTTCCCATGAGGCCCACATCTATCTTGTTTCCTGCGGTATGTGTCCTAACACAGGGCCTGGCACGTCATAAATACTCCATTAATAAAGGTTAGATAAGCAAGTAAGAGCAACTTACCCTTCTTTCAATCATTCAAAGTCATTACTATGGAACAAAATTACTGAACTCTGCAAGAATTCAGTAAAACCCTAGAGGCTATGTGGTATATAGGACCATTTGTCTTTTCACAAAGTGGCTCTTCTCCCAGATGCCCCCATATAATTTTTATATATTTAATCGTTTTTCACCTCCCTCCTGGGTATTGACAGATGATTCTTCAAGTAATGAGAAAGGGTACATTAAATAAAATTAATAAATGAACCAGGGTGTTACTTGTCATACTCTCCAACTCATTGTTCTGTAAGTGCATTGATCATTTTAAGCTCATAAGTCAAGATTTTATCATCTTTGTGACCACAGTGTGCAGCCTCTGCCCAAGCCTCCCACACTGCTCACTGCCCAATAAAGGAACTGTCTGGGGGATTTAAAATTAACCTCTTTTTGAACATTTGATGTCATACTCCCCTTTGGTCTTCTGAATAAATGCAATGGCTCCCTTCTCTTTCAAACGTATCTGAATCTCCTTTCAGGGATCTATTTTCCTTCTTTACTGTGACCTGCCTCATTTTCAGACCCTATATTTGAATCTCTTTTCAAATATCCTTTTGACTTCCTTTACTATTACTCTGCCTTTTTTTCCTATGTATACTTGAAGCCATTTTTAAATGTGTATTATCAGTCTTTTAAAGTTGGTTTGTGGGGCGCCTGGGTGGCTCAGTCGTTACGCGTCTGCCTTCGGCTCAGGTCATGATCCCGGGGTCCTGGGATCGAGTCCCACATCGGGCTCCCTGCTCAGCGGGAAGCCTGCTTCTCCCTCTCCCACTCCCCCTGCTTGTGCTCCTGCTCTCGCTGTCTCTGTCTCTGTCAAATAAATAAATAAAATCTTAAAAAAAAAAAAAAAAAAAAAAAAAAAAAAAATAAAGTTGGTTTGTGAATGTGTACAAAGGCCTCCCTCTGTGGATCTCAAGATAATTCCTAGAAAGGTATGTGTAGGGAAATCTTAATTTGTACAAGAGGGAACCTGCAAAATTGAGGTGTAAGAGCTGAGGTGTGGTTGGCAGTCACTCCCTGATTTCTTCAGCAGGTGGATCTTGAGTAAATAGAAAAAGCCATACTTAAAACAATTCCAAGTTTGTGGGCTTTTGCCCACCCAAACTATTTTGTAATTCTAAGTCAGGCACGATGAATAGAAAATGTGGCACAGATCCTGCCCCTCCCTATGCTGCCTCCCCGGGGCAGATGTTGAGGACCAATCAGCATTTCTTCCTGCTGAGAACTAAATGGAGCCTAAGAACCCTTTAGAACACAGTGCGTCTGCTGACGGGCTTAGTTCCGATTCTGGTTGCTATTTTATTACCATTCAGGCCATGGTGACGATCTTGCTTAACAACATACATTAATGTTGATATAAAAATGGTGCTTACATCCACAGCTGGCCAGAGGATATGGACCTAGAAAGAGTGCGTGTTGACAGCACCTACCTGGGCACTACTGTCTGAACTCTCCCCCGAGCTCTGAGACTGCAGGGAGCTCTGATTTATATGATTCAGCTCTTCTCTAAGCCTCACGATTTTCTCAGGCTTCAAGGTCAACTGCTGTCCTTCACCCTTCAAATCTTGGTTCTGTTGTGAGTCTTCCTCCTTCTGCCTCTCTCTTGGCA